AGGAGAGCTCAGATGAGATGGACTGATACAGTAAATGGGGCGATGGGAGTTGGTGTGTCAGAGTTAGTGAGACTGGCTCAGGACAGGGAAGGGTTCAGAGCTGCTGTACATAGGGTCGCTATGCATGACAGGCGACTCAATGGCACATAACAACAATAGCAAACTACGACAGGTTTGGAAGCAGGAGTGGTATCCGCTTCCTAGAAAATATGCCTCTGGAAACTCTATGAACTTTGATAAATGTTAATAGTTGCAGGGGGGCTTCAGGCCTTTTGTTCATAGTGTTGCTATGGGGTTGTGCTCGACTTGAAGGCAATCAACAAGAACAACAACATAGTTTTCTAAGGGAGTGGTGGTGGTTTAGTGGGTAATGAGTTGCCTGCTGAGTCAAAGGCCAGCAATTTGAATCCACTAGCTACTCTGCAGGAGAAAGAATGGCAACCTCTTGGGAGATTTACAGAATCTGCCAACCTACTGTAGGGTCAGCTATGAGTTAGTTCTAACTAGATGGCAAATAACAACAGTGATAGTTTTCCAGAAAGAAAACATTAATGTTTCTTTTGAAGACCTTTATTTCCTTAGGAAAATAAGGAAGCAGATTACAAAACTTTCAAAAAAACCCTAAGTCCTCAAACTCATTGTCGTTGAGTCAGAACCAACTCACAGTTGACTTCTCAGCAGATTTTCAGGAGGCTGCAAATCATTGCCTCTCTTTCTCCTACAGAGATGCTGATGGATTTGAACCAACAGAGAGGCATCACTTTTGGGTCAGCAGCACAATTCCAGTGCAATTCCTTGTGGACACTGCCACCAGAGCTCTTTAGATCACAATAGGACCAACTAAAACCAAATGACTGGGATAAAAAACTAATTAAGAATAAGAAAGTTGTAATAATACTAGGTACTTTTTAAAAGTCTTCCAATTTACAATAACATTAAATTATAACTCTTTCAACTACTGAAGATAAAGATAATACGCATAAGGGATATAGAGAGGCTTCAGTAAGAATGGCTTCCATAACCTGTGTACTAATTAACGAGAATGAGTTGTAAGTAGTATTGCTAATTCTTAAAAAACATTTTATTATCTTGTCTCAGCCTAACAATTGAGTGGATCCACAAGTTCTTAACAGTGTCTTGGAAAAAAGAAATCATCTTACACTAAACTGTCTTGATATTTTTATGATAGGCAGGTATTAATGCTTATACTGATCTGAGGCTTGTACAAGGCTTTATGCCTTAAGCTCTCCAGTGTCTTAAAGGAAAAAGCCAACCTGTTCTAGCCTAGAGTAAGACTCCACAGAGCATGGTGTTGTTATGCTGTGAAATCAAGACATAAGGAATTTGCCCAAATTGCCTTATAGCTGTGTTGCTCAAAGAAGTTTCCCTTTAAAATCTGTTAGCCTTTGCTTCTGTAAGAGGGTTCAAAGAAAAGCACGCTTCTTACAAATCTATTAAAAAAACTCTTCTTTCACTCATCTGGTGTTGTGGTTTCCAATAATATTCAAACGAAGTAAGTATACATGCACATAAAAGGTTTAGTCTAAAGTAAAACAAAACACTTGTTTTTAAATCTCACCTAACTTTCATTTGAAAAAAAAAAAAGAGTACAGTAAAAAGGAAAAAAAATACCTTTGCAAATATAGTCTTGACATAAATTGGCAGGTCTCCATGGGGACTTCCATAACCCCCTACAATACTAAACCCCAATCCTTCTGAGCCTTTCTCCAAAGTAATAATCTTAGGTGGAGGTGTTCTGAAAACACAATGCATGGTGTTTTATTGAGTGGGAATTTCATTTTAATGGAAGAACACAGATTTGAGAGAGACTTTCATACTGCAAAACTATGAAGGCCAACTTATTGACTCACACTCTCAGAGTACAATTTAGAATGTGATTTTTTTAACTTTTCATGTCAAGTCACCAACTAATAAACAGCATCCTTGATGTTTTAGGGGCATTTCAAAAACCTTCTGCTTTTGGATTACAATTAAGACATGATGCTGAAAGTGGGAAAGCACCCTTCTAATATGCTTAGTTTTTGAAGCTTCAACTAACCATTTAACACCCAAAGAAACTTATGTGTATAAACTTGTAGAATGTTCATGGAAAAGAATATGGTACAATTTAGCATGGTGGTGGATGGTCAGTTCTGAGGTGGACTTGTCCACACCAGGTTCTGATGGCCTAATAACTGCTCCTTTCTGCCTAGATACACTTGCCATAGCTCCCCCACAACTTCCACAAAGGGTGGGAACTCATTCTTCTAAACCCACCTCCAATGTGATGCCTTCCTGACTGCCTGGGGAGGGTTAACCACGTCCTTCTCTGTGGTCTCTTTGTTCTTGAACAGATTCCTATTCTCCTTGTAACACTTACATCATATCTTTCTGACATCATGTGGTGAGCCAACCATCCTTTTCCCCACACACACTACAAATTCCTTATGTCTTGATTTTGCAGCAGATTTTGCTATGGGCTATGCCGCCAGAGCTCCCTAAACTCCTTAAATAGTAATCACAGAAGTATTCTCGGCACTTGTCACAAATTCAGCATCATGACTATGGTAAATGAGAAATTAAATCCAGCAGAGTGGAGAGAGATAGATACAAGTTATACGAGAAGGCCAAAGAGAATCTGTTGCAAATGAATAGATTTTCAAAGCTTTCTTCAGTGTGAAAGTCATCTCTCAGAAACAACATGGCTAAAAATGCAATTATCTACGTGGGCTCAAGTAGTTTAATCTAAATTTAGCTAATGCTGCTTTCATATTGCCCAAAGCTGTTGTCCAAAGGGAGAAAAGGCACTCTGGTGACCCGGACTCTGCCTTCCCATTGGGTCAAGAGGTTCCTGTTTGTTTACTGACATCACTTGTTTTGTGGCAACATGCATGTCTGAGAGGCAGAGCCATCAGATAATGCTCTACTCTTCCTCTATTCAAAGAAAATTTGCAAAAGTGAAATAAAAGTAATCTTTGAATACACAGCTCTATCTGACTAAGAGACTCTTTCTTTTACCTTCTGTAATATTGCTTGGCATATATAAGGGCTACTTTTCAGCTAGTGAACACTGAAACCAATTGCTTACTGATGTTTACGGAAGATATTCATGTTAATTGTTGAATAACTATGTCATTTAAACTGTTAACTATTCTGAATTATGCCAATATTTTAAAACTCTTCATTTAAAGTTTAAGCATTCGTTTCTCCAAGCTCATTCATAAGTGATGCCCTTCTTCCATGTTTCCATAGGCCCTTATGCTTACTTATCTCTTCCTCTAAATTTAATTCTCATGTTTTTAACTCTTGCAGTCAAGGATTGATGCATCTGCTTTTCCAGCTTTCTGGCAGTTCTTTGAAGAAGGGGATAATGTTGGTACCTATGCCCTGAATCCTCAGATTCTAAAACCTGTATAGTGCCTGGTCTTAGGAAGGTGCTCAATAAATATTTGCTGAAATAATGAATATTAATGATGTCATGGATAAGGGCACTACTTCACATCCAGGCCATATAAGTACCCTCCATAAGGAGTCACTGGGGAGACAAGAACTTGATTCTTGTTTCATCTTTCAAGCACAACCTCCATTTCTAAAGATACTGAAATGAGATTGTAGATGCCCAAAATTAGTCTTTCAGAGTTAGCCCTGAAGGATTGCCTCCCCATGAGAGAGCTTTATAATTGCGACTATTCACAAGTAGAGGCCTGTTTTCAGGGAAGCATGGGGAGCGCTTCTCCACTAGTCAACAGGGAACATCAGATGGCGCTTGCCTCATGGTTCTCACAATGTCATAACATTTTCAATAAATCAGCTTTAATGTACTTTCATACAGAATACCTGTGAAAATATATCTCCAAATGTTAATAATAGTGATGTAGAATTGATTTTTAAATTTTGTTAGTAGCCCCTAAACTGATAAGGGAGTATGGAATTATAGAAAAGAAACCAACACTAGCAAAGATTACATAGGTATATCTGTATTTCCACAGGTATTTCATGGAGTGCTCAAATATACATTTTATTCTTAGAAGGGACCTTCCCCCCTCTCTCTTAATAGCAAAGACGATTGTTATTTTAAAATGCTACATATTTTTATGTATCTGTCACATAATGGTATGCATTTGATACCTTTAGAAGAAAAAGTAAAATTACTTTAACATTCTTACCTAAAAGAAAATAAACTCAAAATGCATCATTTAAAGTGAAGAATTGCTAGCTGAAAATGTGGCAGTAGTTGTGATCATGAGTTTCTTTAAATAAACTATTCAGCTTAGTTCAACATTTATTGAGCAGCGACTAAGAATCAGGCACTTGGTGAAAATTATCATTATGACATTGGTGGTAGAAGAAGATCACATTTATGCAGTGTTTCTCAAACTGTGGTCTTCTGCTTATCTGTGGTAGAATTCCCCTAGGGAATGTGTTAAAATGAGATTTCTGAAATCCACTGTAGACCATCTCAGAGAAGGACCATCTCATAGATGAGATGGTTTACACTAAGAATGGGCCTGGGGAATTAACATCTTTAGAAATAGACCTTGTGTGATTATTAGGCAGATTCTATCTTGAGAGAAATTGCTTTAATGAGTTACTTTAATGGTAATGATGGGTTTTAATGAAGAATGTTAGTAGGTATAATCACAAGATTCAATCTAACAACAAAATTTCAGCTCAGACTATTGAGAAACCTGGTTCTTTGCATAATAAAGAAAGGTACATCTAGACTATAGATTCATGGTTTCTTAGGAAAGGAGGCATAGACATGTGCCAAAGTGGCCAGTGTGTCAGGTCCTGCACAATGGCCTTTTCAAATACTTGTACAGTGGAATGAAACCTTGTGAGAAATAAGAATCGAGTGCCTTCTTGGAGGTATTCTAAGGATTATAAAAAGACCATTTGGATTTCTCTCCTCCTCTCCTTTACAGAGAACAGCCTAGGGTCCGGAAAAGGTCTCACTGGCCTTTGCCCATGCACAAAGAGGCACTCTGCATTCAGAATACTCACTCTGTGTCTTCTGGATGGTGGTCAGCACTGGGTAAAGCAGGATGACAGCCAGTAGACATGCTTTCAAGTTGAGATGCTATGGCGCTGATATTGGTATCTGCTACCACCTGGAGGAAAAGTTAGAACAAAGTCATATATCAGGTGGCAGGAGAGAATTACAGAAGCCCGGCAATTGCGAATGGTAGGCGGTCCATCATCAGCACGTGAATTATTCTCTTTCGTGAACTGCTTTCTTTTTTGGCTTTCAAACTGAACTAATTTCCTTACCACATTTCTGGCCACTCCTTCATTATCTCCAGATTGCTGTAAGGTGCAGTCTTTGAACTTACCTTTTCAATCTACACATATTCCCTGCAATCTCTCACCACATGAATGAAAAATTATCTATGTGCTGAAATTCCCTGGATCTGCTATCTCTAGCATTATTTCTTACCTAACTCCAGATTCATATAATCAATTGTCAGCTTGATATCTGAGCTTCGAAGTCTAAATTTTTCAAAACTTACATTCCCCACATTGCATCAGAGAGCTAGCCGGACAATGACTAAGGATGACAGGAGAATCAATGCCTTTGACCTGTGGTGTTGGAGAAAAGTATGGAATGTACCATGGACTTCAAAAAGAACAAATAGGTTCGTCCTGGAGAGGGTGAAACCAGGCTGCTTCTTGGCGGCCAGGATTCTGAAGTTTCATCTGACATACTTTGGACATGTTGTAATGAGGAACCAGTCCTTAGAGAGGGACATAACAACAACAACAACATTCCCCACACTGCACCCTACTCTGTCTAACCTTTGTTCTGGTCCTGGTGGCGTTCCCATCTCATGTAATTGCAACGTGATTCTTTAGTTTCAACAAGAACTTTGCTGTCATCTTTTACTCTTTCTCTCACAACTCATATCTAATCCTCATAAAATTCTGTTGGTGTATCTACAGCACATCTTGCCTTGAGTTTAAAACAGCTTCTTCATTTGTCTCCCAGCTTTAGTCTGGTCCCATTCTCTGCGATATATATATCACTCTATCAGCTACAATGGATGGAGTTCTGGTAGTTACATAGTCAGTTGCTCATCAAAAGGTCATTGGTTTCGATCCACCTGCCACATTACCAAAAAAGAGGTGGTCTGCTTCAGTAAAGGGTCACAGACTTTGACATCTCATGAGGCAGTTATATTCTGTGTATGGTGTCCGTTTAAGTGGTAATCAACTTGATGGCAACAGGCTTTTGGCTGAGCCAGATAGACTAATTCAGTTAAGTATCTCATTCTTTCCCTTAAAACTATACAGAAGTAATCCAGGTTTCTCAGCACACAAGGGCCTATGTGATCTGAACACAGAGAGGAATGTTAGGATATGAGGGAAGAGAATGAGACTAACATTCTTCTCTGTGTTCACTCTGCTCTGGACATGCCAGCCTCTTGTTTGTTTTCTAAAATTCCAGGCACGTCCTCACCTCAGTACTGCAATTTCTGTTCCTGCTGCCTAAGACAATAAATATTGTGGAATGAATCTTTGGATTTCTGAGGCTTGCCTGTCAGGTGGTCATAAGTAAAACGAAAACAGCATAATGACATCTAAACACACAATTTGTATTCTGAAAAGCACTCAGAAGAAATATGGTACAGCCCTGAGAGTGATACAAGGAATCAGAATGAAGTTTTAAAGTTCCATTTCTTCCACTTAAATGATGCTATACCTCTTTTTCGCTTCTTCATCTGTTAAGTGGATAAGAGAAAAGCCTGCTTTGCTTACTTGTCCAAGAGCTGTTCTCCACAACGATTACATTATCAGAGCTCTCAAAGGCACCTTAGCTCCTCCTGCTTTGTTCCAAGGCTCATAATACAAAGACTATGTTATAATATTTATTGAACAAAGAAAGAGGAGGCTAACTGACAGCTTTGCAAAAGGGCTTGACTTGGTTGCAATTTCACACTACACCAACAGAGGGCACAGCTGCCTAAATGGCTAAACTGCATCTATTAAGTAGAATATTGAGGACAAGGAAGGTGACAGGCTTGCCCCAGCAGAATTAGAACACACTGTGGGGAAACTGTTCTATTCTCAGGATAGCCTTGCTATGTTATAGTGATGATAGGACTTTCTGTAAAGATGACCATATGAAAAATGACAGAATGAATATGGGTATATTTAGGATAAAAGCCTTTAGGGGGACATGTCAGATTTGCCCAGGCCACCAACAAACCCCTCTACTCTCCCCAGTTATCAGCAGCTCTGTCTATTCCCTTCTGCTGCAAGCATATTTTAAGCATAACCTCTGTAACCTCACATATTCTTAAAGTGCATCTCTAGAATCCATTCTAGATTTCAAAGGGCAGCTCGAGAAGAAAGAGTAAATTATTATAATGGAATGTGCAAAGAACTGAAGTTGAAGAATAAAAGCAGAAAAACTCACTTGATATTTCTCAAGTTGAAAGAAGTGAAAAACAAATTCAAGCCTCAAGTTGCAATACTGAGAGATGCTATGGGGAAAAATCTTAAATGAGTCAGGAAGCATCAAAATAAGATTACTTAGGTTTATTGTATCAAAAATAATTGGTTGATACTATAAAAATTCAGGAAGTACAACATAAAAAAGAGCCAATGGTAACAAAGGAAGAAGTTCAATCTGTACTGAAGGCATTGGCAAAAAACCAAGCCCCCCTGGGATACTAACTGACACATTTCACTAACACACATAGCCCTGTGCATACCCACCAGTTTATGCCAGAAAATTTGGAGGACAGCTACTTGGCTGACTGGCTGGAAGAGATGCATATTTGTTTTCATTCCCAAGAATGAATGTTTTCATTCAACAGGATGTGGAAATTATGGAACAATATCACTATCACATGCAAGCAAAACATTGCTAAAGAACCGCCAGAAGTTTAAGCTGTGTTTAGAAGAAGCGGTGGCACCAGGGATAGCATTGCTGATATGATTATTCAAAGGCATTTGACTGTGTGCATCATAGCACACCATGTCAGACATTAAGAAGAATGGGAATCCCAGAACAAGGGAACACTGCATGGTTTAAAATCAGGAAAGGTGTCATCAGGGTTGTATCCTTTCTCCTTACCTATTCATTCTGTACACTGAGCAAATCATTCAAGACTCTTACGAAGAAGGATGTAGGTTTATGATCAGAAGAAGACAGATCAACAACCTGCATTATGCAACTGATGCAGTTTAATTTGCAGAAAGTGAGGATGACTTGAAATACTTTTTGCAAAAGATTAAAGACTATGACCATCAATATGGATTGCATTTCAACATGGAGAAGTCAAACCATCCTCTCCATTGCACAGATAAGCAACATCAAGATAGGTGACAAAAAGTTTGAAATTGTCAATGATTTCATTTTTACTTGGATTCACAATCAATAGCCTTGATAGCATCAATCAGGGGATCAGAAGACATACCACATTGGGCAAGTCTGCTCTCTGGGGATCTCTCCAATCTACTGAGGAGCAATGATGCCAGTTTGAAGACTAAGGTGAGCCTGATTCAAGTGATGGTCTTTTGTACCACTTGCTATGCATCTGAGAGCTGGATAATGACTGAGGATGACAGAAAAAGAATTGATGCCTTTGAGCTGTGGTGTTGAAGAAGAGCACCAATGATCTCAAGGACTGCCAGAAGAACAAACAGATCTTGGGGAAAGTGCAGCCAGATCTTGGTGACAAAGATGACAAATCTTCACCTCATATACTTTTGTATATACATGCTGCTAAGAGAGGCTGGCTATTTCTTGGAGAAGGGCATCATGCTTGGAACGATGGAAGGTCAGTGACAGAGAGTGCCCCAACAAGAAGGACTGATGTAGCAAGTACAATGGGCTCACTTGTGTCAGGAATGACGAGGATGGCACAGCATAGAATAGAGTTCAGAGCTGTTGTTCATAGAGTTGCTATGAGTCATACTTGATGACTTCTAACAACAACAACAACAACAACAATACAGTAATCAACTGAGTTCATCTTCACTGATTACCTTTCAACTGTAATCTCCCTTCATCTTTTCATCTCTTCTCCACATTGCAGCCAATTAATCCTTCTAGATAGAAAATGGGTAACATTATTCCCTTGCTTAACCCTTTAAATAGTCTCCCTTTGGAGTCAGTTCAGACTTACTTTCATGCAAACTCCATTTATCTCCTTACACCCTTCTGCTAAAAAAAAAAAAAAAAAGCCCAAACAACCAAAAACACCCAACACCCTCAAACTCCCTGGCATTGACTTGGTCCTGATGCAGAGACCCTCCATCAGGTTTCTGAGGCAGTAGATTTTAAAGGGAGGAGAGTATACTTCTTTCTCCTGATGAGCCACTGGTGGATTTGAACCACCAGAGATGTGTGACCTTTGAGTCAGTAGCACAACGCTCCAAGAACAACGCCATCAGAGCTCTCCACACTCCTCTGGATTTCTCCCTTCCCCTGGCTGGCCTGGCCTCAATTTAAATGTGACTTCCTTATACCAGCCCTCTTTAGTCACCTCACTTAATTTCTTCGGTTTTCCTCTCCATAGCATTCTGGAAGTGTTCCTGAAAACTCGGGGTGGTGTATATTTGTGTAACTGTGAACATTCTTGCCTGCTAGATCATAGGAACCACGAGGATAAGGACTGCTGCTTCTCAGCTCCATATTATTGGAACTGAAATTGCTCAATAAGTATCTGTGGAGAAAATGCATGCATCTAGAGTCCTTCATTAAGGAATGAGGATCATGGAACTACACTTTCTGAACTTCTACAGAACAGACTGAGATTGATGAAAGTTATAAGATAATCTGAGGAAAGGGAAAGGAATAGAGAGTCTAAAATTAGTGAGAAATTAAACTGGACATCTTTTGAGGTTATGAGCATCCTATTATGGGAATAGAGAGTCTAAAATTAGTGAGAAATTAAACTGGACATCTTTTGAGCACATGAGCACCCTATTATGATGGGCGTCCAAACAGAGCTCAATGTTTGCAATCAGAGATGTGGTGAAGGAAAGTCCTTTGCTTGCTGAGAAGTGGACATGCATTGTCAGCTGGCCATAAAACAGATTATTATGGAAGTCAGTAAAATAAATTTCCTCCCACCTGACATCTTAAATGCCAAGATTGAAT